AGAGGGAGAAGGAGATATAGAGAGAGGGAAAGGAGGCAGAAGGAGAGAGGGAGACAGGCAGGACTTCCTCTAGGCAGGCCCCTCCTCCTACAGCTCCACTACCTTCCCACAGCGCCACCAGCTGGACTAAACCTTCAACACACAAGCCTTTGTGTGTTGTGTGTTGATGTAGGAATAGGTTACATCAAAACAGTGGCAGATACGTGGTCCTATCACCCCTCGTGGTGTCCGTGGACAGGATTTCATCACAAAGGTGTCGTACTCCTTCAGCAGGAGAAAGCAAGTTGGCTGGGGTTGATCACAGAAGTCTCAGTCATTAGCTACTGCTGGCAGTGGCTGGACAACCCACACAGGACTCCTGGACTTCCTGAGAAGGGAACCAAACATTTCCTCCTTTAAGTTATTTAAAGTCCCAACACCAGGTTCCAACTGTCCAGGTTCCAACTCCAACAAGGATCTTCTAGGCCAGACTGTTTTCAGTGTTCACATTATCTTCACCCTGCACAATTGCTCGTAACATAGATGTTGTACACACAGTCTGCAACTTAGGCTAGTTTGATGTTTCCACTTCACCATGGTTTTTTATAGAAAAGTTACCAGACTTTAGGGTGCTAGAGTCTCCTAAAAGTGATTTCTAGGTTCTTTCTGTCTTGAACAAAGAAGTGATTGGGACGAGCACAGAAAGCTGGGTGTGGTGGCACATGCCTGTAATCCCAGCATTCAGGAGGCTGAGGCAGGAGGATCTCTGTGAGTTCAAAGCCAGTCTCAGCTACATAGTGAGTTCAAGTTTAGCTTGAACTACATAGCAAGACCCTGTCTCAAAACAAACAAACAAAAGACAAGCACAAGTGGTAGCAAAAAATTATTAAACAGGCTCTGCGGAGCAAATTTGGGCCAAGTAAAAGATAGAAAGATAAGCACACTCTCTACAGGAGAGAGAAGGCTGCTGTGAGAGAACACAGCACCAGAGAGCTCAACAGGGACTGTCCCTTTGTATCTCCCACTTCTCAGGCTGACTTCAGGGCTGGGCCATCCCATCCAAAATGGAAGGAGTTTTGGCAAGAAGTCCATGTGCAAGGGCTCCGGGAGCTGTTCTGCACATGCATCCTGGGATTTTGTGATCACTAGGTCACGCCTGCTCCCCCAGGCGTCCTGCCATATTCTGATCTCCTGCCTCAAAAACTCCACTTTAACGTCCACTAACTCTTACTGGTGACCCACACAACCATTCTGTTTCTCACTTCCAATACATACTCAATGAACTGTGTGGTTCTGTGACATAGTTAACACTTTATAGCAAAATAACCTCTGTGCACATGATTTAGTCCAACTGTAGACCAACGCCAGAGTCTGAGCGCTTTTTTTAGTACTGGAGATTAAATGCAGGGCCTTTGCAGTGGGCTACATTCCTAGTCCTTTTTATTTTTTATTTTGAGGCTGGGTGTCACTGAGTCATTACCAGTAAGTTGCTCAGGTTATGCTGGCACTTGCAGTCCTCTTGCCTCAGCCTTCCAGAGAGCTGGGATTATAAGTGTGCACCACTGCACCCAGCTGAGTCCAAGTATTTATGCTAAACTGCCGTGCTTGGTGAGCGAGGTGTATTAAGTGCATTTTTGACTTAGGGTGGCTCTCAACTTTCAACTTGGGATGTGCTTGTCCGGGTGTACCCCATCGTGGGTGGAGAAGCACTAACACTTACTAACCCCAGTTGCTGAACGTGGAGTCTGAGACTTAGCAAGTTCTGTCACTTTTTTGATCCTGTTTGGTCCAAGTGCAGATACCATGCGCTGAGCATTCGAAGCCTGAGAGGAAGCTCTTCAGGGAACCTGTGAAGACCTGGGTTGGGGCTGGCACTGTGGGAGTGGGGGTGGCCGTGGGAGTGTGCATGCCACCAACAAGCTCTGCTCCCTTTTAGCGGCCTCATCTCAAGAAGGCTCTCTCCCTTTTCATAAGTGCGCTGCCCCAGCAAGAGGATAATGTTGGATGCTGTTACCTCCAATAATGTGCTGTTAATTTGCAGCAGTGCCGAAGGGTGCCAGCTCTGAAATGCGTAGCTCCCTGAGGAACATTTTGTATCCAACTTAATCTTTGCTTTTTATCTGTGGCAACAGAGCCTTCCAAAGTGCCTGTGGACTGTCAGAATGTGTTTAATGGCATGTGAGAGATTTAGACCTTAATCAACAAAGAAAGGAAGCAAGACCAACACGATGGACTGCACTCAGTGGGGTGGGGGGCGTGGGCCCAATCCCAGCATCCTTTTGAGGGGGTGGGGACCAACTCTTTTCCAGGCTGTTGTCCCTGACTGTCTCCCTTGCACAGCCTTGGGTTTTGACACATGGGTGATGGTCACATTCTCCATAAGATTGCTTACATCCGTGGATGGCACTTCACCATGTCCCCAAGCCAGGGGGGTACTGCAGGAAGCCAGAGCTGGATTGTGGGGGAAATTAAGACACAGAGAGAGGCCTTTGGCTGTCCAGCCATTAGCAGTAGAGCGTAACCTCCAGGCCTTTAAGTTCTGGTGATTCCAGGCACAAGGGAACTTTTATCTCCTTGACAATAGAAATTAAATACGAGGCAAAGAAGCCCCACACAAAAGCTATTATTAAGAAAGAAGAGTTTGAGGAAGGGGCTTCAGCTTAAAGAGAAGCAGAGCTGAAGGGAGCACAGCACTCAGGGGCCAGCTTTAATGGAGTTGCAGGGATGACCTAGGGTTTGTTGATCATTATCTCTGCACTGGCTTTTCATGGTAGCTCTAGAAGAGTGCTTATCTCTTGAGGGGGCAACCATTTCCATGAGTTGCCTGTTCCCGCTTAGGGGGCAACTTCCATTATGGGGTGATTATTCTCACTTAAGGGGTGATCTGTTCATGGAGAGATCTGTCTGTGAGACTCTTTTCCCAGAGTCCAAAGTGGCTATAGGTTGAGAACAATGGCTGAAGCCTTCTAGATACTATTCCAGGGGTCTGGAACAGGATATTGTGAAAGCTGGCCTTGCAGATCTTGAAAATACCTTAGTTACTCTTATCCTGATGTCTTCAGGCTTGAAGGTAGTTGAGATGGCTTAGGTAATGTTAGGCTAATGAACCAGATTTTAGACAGACACTCCTTAAGTGATGAACACACCTGCGTGCTGAGCTGAGCAGGGATCTGACCCAGGGTTTTTCTTAAGTAGTGAAGAAGGCAGACAGAAAATGATGGCAGAGATGCCAAGCTTTGTCCTATTGTTAGTTACCCATTAGGCATCTGTAGGCCCAAGTAAAGAGTGAGTGCTTTTCAGCAAAAACATCCATCAAGTCCCTGACTGTCTCACTGGTGCATGCAGATGTCAGACCTAGGCCTAACACTGAAGGGTTTTGTTTTGTCTTGGGTTGGCTTGATTTGGTACTACTGGTGCAGGGCTCAGCTTGTGCCCAGCAGGACTTTCATCATCTCCTCTGGGCTGTTACGTGGTTCCTGCGCATCTCGTCAGCGCTGACCAACTCCACCCACACTCTGCTGTGGGGCAGGTGTGGGGCTCCACACTGCCAAGCTAGCTCTGTCCCGCTGGTGCCACCTCCCCATGTTCCAGGCTTCCACAAGATGCTGGCCACACCCAGCCATGGTGTCAGCAGACAAGGTCTGCAGAAGGGAACCTTCACTTACTTGACCTGCCAAGTAGGTCCCTACCTGTCATCACAGAAATAAGGTTTTGGGACACATCAGTGAAAGGCAGATGCAGATTTGATAGACAGAGTTGAGAGTGAGCGGCAGGAGGAAAAGGCTCCAGCTTGAACTACTGAGGAGGCCACTGCAGTTGTGTTGCCTGGTAGCTCCTCTAAACGTGGCTCACCAAATATGTTATTGGTTTCTGGGTTGCATGCCTCTCCTCTGAGGTTGGAGTCCAGGTTCTTCTGTCTTGAGCAAAGAACTGAACAAAATGAGCAAGAAGCAGTGACAAAGTTTATTTTATTTTTTAAAAATTTTTTTATTTTTTTGGTCTTTTTGAGACAGAGTCTTGCTATGCAGTTCAAGGTGGTCTTGAGCTCACTTTGTAGCCCAGGCTGGCCTCGAACTTGCAATGATCCTCCTGCCTCAGCCTCCCGAGCACTAGGATCACAGGTGTGCACCACTACACCCGGCCAAAGTTTCTTTTAAAAAGTAAAAGTGAGAGGTGAGGGAGAAGCTGGGTCTGCAGCGTGAGCTTGGGCCGAGTGAAAGAGGAGAGGAAGCGGTAAGAGCACACAGAAGAGGGCAGCAGGAGGAAAGCCAGGGTAGCCAGCTCTTGGCATATGTCCTCTATAATGTCCAAATTGCTAGGAAACCTGCAAGACTTCTACATATGGGTCCTAAGAGGCAGTGTGGGGATCCCACGCCTTAGGCAGAGGTCACATCTAGGCATCCTATTGAAAACCAAGAGCACATGATCTGGGATTTTGTGATTAACAGGTCACACCTACTTCCCCAGCCAGCTTTGCCACACCCTTATCTCCTGTGTCAGCTACACAGTCTAAGCAGCCTTTCCTGTGCTCAGAAGAAACTTAGCAAATTCCGAATTTTCAGTCAGTGAGAGCGATGGGAAGTATGTGTGTCTTGGTTACTTTCCTCTCACTGCTGGGACAAAATACCTGACACCCAAAATTGAGGAAGGAAAGGTTTATGTAGCTCACAGTTTGTGGAGGTTTCAGTCCCTACTCGGCTGGCTCCAAGGCAGAGTGGCACACAGCAGAGGGCAACAGTTCATGGCAGCAGAAGACAGCAAAAACAACAAGAGCAAAAGGGAGGAGCAGCAGCAAGCAGCCTCTTTCCCTCCCTTACACTGTATGCAAACTATCCGCCCCAGGGTGGGTGTAGCACTCACATCCATAATCCTAGCATTGAATTTCAACTCTAGAATCCCACCTCATGACTGCATGAGGATGTAGGGGGCAGGCAGACACAAACCATAACAATGTGCTAACTACGCATTGTTGGTTTTTTCCTCCCTTTGCCCCTCACAACCCCTCCCTCCTCAGGTGAGTCACGCTGTTGGGTGAGAGGGGCACCCTCTGAGCCCAGACTGAACATGCTGTCGTGGGTATGGATGTTTGTGGTGGATGCGTTGCCCTGGTGATGGGTTAAGCCTCTCTTGGCAGCAGCTGGAGAATAAAGTTATTGACAGCAACAACAAAGGTCTTCGTGTTGACAGTCAAAGGTAATGGTTTTCAGACTTCAATGCATTATGTGAAATCCCTTAGACGATTACTGGACCCTGCCCTAGACGTACTCATTAGAATATTTTAACTTTTTAAAAAATTGAGATAAGCTCACATATTTACCACTTTAATCATTTAAAGTGTACAAGTCAGTGGGTTTTAGTGTGATACAAATGTTCATCCATCACTGCTAACTCCAGAACATTTTCAGTACCCTGCACTCATTTAAGCAGTTATTCTCTATTATCCCTCTTTCCATCCTTTGGTAACCAACGACATTTCTTTCTCTATGAATTTACTTACTGTGGACATTTCATATAAATGGGTTCACCCTATACTGATCTTTTTTGCCTGGCTTTTTTAACCTAATATAATATTTTCTAGGCTTATCCATATTGTAGTAGTACTTACTTCCTTTTCATGGCTGAATAATGTTCCAGCATGTGGAGATACCAGACTCTGTCTATCCGTTCACTAGTGGATGGAATTTGGATTGTTTTCATCTTTTGACTGTTTGATTTTGTTTGTTTTTTTACTTTTTATATAGTATATATGTTACTATTTTATGCTAATACATTCTTATATTACAAAGGCAATTTAGTGAAAGAACCTTCCTTTTCATATTTGAGTCATCTGAACATATGCAGAACTATACATTTGAAAAATTTGTTTGGATAATAACAACAAAGAGACAAGTTAGAACAACAAAAAATTGTCCTTTTTTACAGGTGGACATTGAAGTGGACCTAATTTGGCTTTCTTTTTAAAAGCCTCCGAAGACAAAAAGCAGCTTAAAATCTAAGATGAATAAAATAGTTGTTTCTGAACCACTGGCCTCCGGCGCCGTTCTCTGTTCCTGTGGTTTCCACGAAGGCCCCTCTTCGTTTCTTCTCGTTCCCTCCTCACCGCTCCAGCTGCATCACTGTCACCATGATCTTCATCACTGTCAAATCTTGCTTTCTTGTCCCCATACTGTGCTTTCCCGTCAGCAGACCCGGGCCAGGCAGCGTCATTTCCTTTAAATCTGCCACCTTTTGGCGTCCATTTCTTTAGGGATTCTTGTTGATCCTCTATGGTTTTCTCAAAGCTTCTTTCCCACTTCTCCTTCCAGTACTTTCCACATCACTTTCTCCTGCAGTAGGACTATCCACTCTGTGGCTCCTCTGACAAAGTCTACCCATTTTAATTCACCATGGTTTGAGAAAAGGGTGTGCAAATCTTCCGTGCAGGTCTGATTATCTAAGTCACACCAAAACTTCAGCAAGCAGCCAATCTTTTCCTTAAAAGATTTCATTTTGTCATTTTCTGCTAACACTTCTTGCTCTTGATTAGTCTTAGTTACCTTCTACTTTATTTTGCTTTCTTACTTCATTTTTCTTTGCAAAATAATCTTCCTTAAAAAGTATTAGCAGGTCTGTGTCTTTATACTTCTGGCCCGGAGTTTCTATAACCTTCTTAGCCGATTCAATGCTATTAAACATAGCAAGGGCAGGGATATAGCTCAGTAGCACAAGTGTCTGCCTGGCAAGCGCAAGGTCCTGAGTTCAATTCCCAGTACCAAAGAATATGTAAATAAATAAACATAGCAAATTCTGGTCCCTTAAATGCTTTGTGCAATGTTCTTCTCATCTGTATATTTAGTACTTGACCTTGGTCTTCTGGTCATTCTTTGATGTAATCAAGGGTTGCATCCATTGGGAAGCCTTTAATATAAACAGATCTTTTTTTACTCATCAGTCACTTCAGGGAAGGCTTTGTTCAGCAATCTTCTGATTTTAGTTTTCTCATCAATGATTCCCATGAGTTCTGCCTTAGATTTGATCAGTGCTTCCACTATTGCACTCAAGTCTTTTGGCAGATTGTTGAGCCTGTTGAATTTTATCACTGTTTCCAAGAGACCCAGCCTGCATTCAATTTGATCTGTTCCTTTAAAAATTTGTCTCATGGAAAATTGAAGTCTCCAAAATAAAACTCAGCTTGATGACAGATTTTGGCCCCAGAGCAGCCATTTTCTCCTTATCACCATTTTCCGCCATTGTGGCTAATCTTTAAAGCTGTGGTGCCCTATGCATGCCACGGGTTCACTAACAACAGCAGAGACCTCCCCACTTCTCAGTGCCAGTGGCCTCTTTTGATATTTTAAATAATGCTGCTGTAAACATTTATGTACAGGTTTTTGTGTAGACATGTATTTTCATTTGTGCTGGGTACACATTGGGAGGGAAACTGCTGGGTCCTTTGGTAATGAGTCTCACTTTCTGAGAAAACACCAAACTGTTTCCTGCAGTGACGGCACTGTTTTACATTCCCACCAGCCAGGGATAGGGATTCCGATTTTCGCACAACTTCTCTAAGACCTGTTTTTGCATTTGTTTGATTCTAACCAAATGGATGGACATGAAGTGGTATTTTGCTATAATTCTGAGTGTATTCCAAACCTGCTGGGCCTGTGGTTTCTGAAGAAACATTGACCATTTGTCTTACTGAGGATCCCTCTACACAAGTGAGCAACACATAGATCCTTTTCTTTAGTTCTTTCCTTTCTGCCCCTTAGATGGAAAGTTCTCTGATGACCTGTCTTTAGTAGCCTACCCAGATCTGCCATGGGCACCCCTTAGCAGGTTTCTCTTTCTATTTTTATAGTTTCCAACTCCAGAATCTCTGTTGCTTCCTTTTGATAACTGTATCTTCAACAATATCCTCTATGTGGTAAGACATCTTTCTCATCATTTCCTTTGGCTCTTTGAACATATTTATTGTTGTCTGTGTAAATAAAGTCTTTGTCTAGTGAATCCCATGTCTGGGCTTCCATAGGGACAGCTGAACCAGTTGCCCTTTTCCTGCATGTGGGCTTTTGTATTCAATGTGCACCTTAAATTTTTTTATTGAAAACTAGACACTTTGGAATATCACATATCTAATCCCCTCACCCATCAGGATTTGTTGTTACTGATGTGTGTTTATTTAGTGACATCCCTGGACTAATTTGGTCAAGTCTGTATTCTCTGTCTTCTGTGGCCATTCATGTCTTTGTTCCCTGAGCTTAGTGGTCAGTACTTGGATCTATGTTCTTGAATGTCTGGGATGAAAAGCAACCCCAATTTTGCCTCTTTAAATGTGTTAGGGACACCTGCAGCACTCAGCCGGGTACAGTTCACACCCATCTTTCCTTGCCTTTTTGGACATTTGAAGGTCAATCCAAGTAGAGGTCTGAGGGACTTCCTTGGTTTTTCCTGAGTACACTAGCCAGGCATGGCATTTTAGAGTCCTAAGAATTTGTTGGAACTGTTCCAAATCTTTATTACCCAAAGTATTTCATTCTCCAACCTTTCTTCCCAAGCTGTTTGTCCTAGCTGTAAGCCGCTACCTCAGACAGCAATAGCTAAAATATTCTTCTATAAATGTTTTTGACAGACGTTCCCAGGCTGGCTGCTTTGGCTCTGGAAAATTCCCAGCTATATGAGGTAAATGCCTGGCCTTTCTGTCAGTCTTCCTGGGAGCTACCAGATAGGCTTAAATGGTACCTCCAGGAAACGAGGTCTGCGCTCCTCCTTCCAGTACCAGTACTGTTTGTTGCCAGTGGAATAGGCTGTGTTTCAAGGCTACCATTGACCAGGGAGCAGGGCATAGAGGCAGAGTAACTTTGAATGCTATGAAGCTCATACTTACCAGGATCCAGTTGTTTTTTCTTAAGTGTTCCTGTGGCCACTGCAAGCTTCTAGTTAGTCTCCAAAGTTCAAAAAAGTTGTTTCTGAAGGTTTTTACTAGGATTTGCCCCTCCCCCTGCATTGACTAAAGGTGTGGATGGACTTCTGGAGCTCCTAGTTCTGCAATTTCCCAGTCACTTAGAATAGTAAGCGGGGCTGGGAATATACTTTCCCAGCAGGTTCTCCATGCTTCTGGAGTTGCTGGCCCATGGTCCTCTGTGAGAACACTGAGCTGCACTCTGTCTCCCTGCAGGCACCCCAGATCCCTCCCTGGTCGGTGTCCTGCTCCGATACCAATTGGGACTTGCCCGTCCTCTCTGCTCTTACTGATGCATATAACCACAGTTCTCAGAAGTGCCTGATGCTGAACATCTCAGCCTCACCCTTCTCAGGAACAAGAGAGACATTTGGGTAGTGCATTTGGAGGGGGACAGAACTACCCCTCAGCACAATAGGAAAGGACCCATGGAAGTTTCGGTGTGGTCGAAGTTGCTGATGTTATTAAAGCCTCTTTTGTATAGGATTCTCTGAGAAATGTAGGCCCTTCACAGAAAAATGTGCACACGCAAAATAGTTTGCTTGTAAATTTAGAAGGCTCAGGGTCCCTCTAAAGAATTTCTGTGGATCCCAGAGGACCTGTGATAGAAACAAAGGAGACTGGAGAACCAGGTGACTGGGTTTCTGTTTCGCCACATTAGTGGCTCTCAGCCCCAGCTATGCAGCAAGATTACCTGGACGTTTTGGCCAAAGCAAAGCAAAACAAAACCTTTTCCATGGTGGAAATGTCAAGATTCAAATCCATAGCACAAAAGGGGAATAGTGTGCCCTGGTGTACCCACCCCTACTCAGCTCCCACAGCTATGAAAGCCAAGGGAAGACAGTTTTGTGGGCAACCACCTTTTCTATTAACGGCACCATGTATCTCTGGAGAAAAAATGCCCCCATTTTTCACATACCACAATACCATTATTATACCTTTAAAATTCTAATTCATCAGCAGTGGTCAGGTTTTCTCATTTACTCTTACATCTTTTTGTAGTTCATTTCTTCCACTCTGAGCCTAAAAAGTACAGTCGACACATTGTCCTTTATGACCACCCCACCCACCCACCTCTTTCTTTCCTTCCTTAACCTTTATTTGTTGAAGGGCAGGGAGTTTTGTCTTTAAACATGCCCAACCAGCCCCGGCCTAGAACCTTGAGGCGGCATCTCCAGGCATGAATAATCAAACGCCTTCCACCACCTGGTATGTGGGTGGACTTTAAGAATGCATCACTGTTCTTTAGGTGATGAATTAAAATCAGGTCACCACTTAACCGGGTCTGCTGGAAGACTTGAGGGATCTGCTATTTGGATTGTGTGGAGACTTCAGAAATGCAAGAAAGGAGAAATGGCCAAGCAGAAGAAGTCTCCAGTTCCCAGCCCCTGGGTCCGAGGCCGAGCAGGGTTCCATCAGCACTCGCGGCCCTAACGCGCTTCTTCCTTCTGCAGGCCCAGCCTCTCGAGCCACAAGGCGCGGCCACCGCATGGGGCCATGGCCCTGCTCCCCCGGCACGCGGGGACCCGCGACCCGGAGCCTGGCTGCAGCAGACGGCACCACGGGATGGCCCGCGCGCGGCACGTCATCATCAACGTGGGCGGCTGCAGGGTGCGCCTGGCCTGGGCGGCGCTGGCGCGCTGTCCGCTCGCGCGCCTCGAGCGCCTGCGGGCCTGCCGCGGCCACGACGAGCTGCTGCGCGTATGCGACGACTACGACGTGAGCCGCGACGAGTTCTTCTTCGACCGCAGCCCGTGCGCCTTCCGCGCCATCGTGGCGCTGCTGCGCGCCGGGAAGCTGCGGCTGCTGCGCGGCCCGTGCGCGCTGGCCTTCCGCGACGAGCTGGCCTACTGGGGCATCGACGAGGCGCGCCTGGAGCGCT